GGCTAGTTGCTGCCCTCTCCATAACGGGTCACCGTCAATTCGTCGTAAATCAATCTGTCTTATACGTCAATTCGTCGTAAAGTCAGTTCGTCGTAACGTTAAGTCGACGTATACATCAATTCGTCGTAAAGTCAATTTGTCGTAAAGTAACGTCGACTAGCTTGTATTGGGTGAATTGGGTCAACTATCCCTGTCGGTATGAAACCAACTGAATCCTATGCATCACTGATGACTCATGTGGCTACAGATATAATCAAACTTCCGATAATAACCCGGTTAATTTGGGTTAGATTAAAATTGCAAACTAACCCAAACTACCCGGGTATTATCGGTAAGTCGACGTAAGTAACGACGAAGTAACAATACGACGAATTGACGTATACGACGAATTAACGTGTTAATAGTTTGCAATTTTAATCAGATATTATCAAGCTTACCGATAATAACCCGGTTAGTTTGGGCTATTTTGTCATATGATGTCTAATTGAAACTGCAAACTAAACCAAACTAACCGGGTAATTATCGATGAGTTTGGTAATGTCTGATTTAACGAAAAAGTGTAAATTTATTTGCATTTCTACAATATACCTGAAATACGACGAATTGACGTAAGCGATGAATTACCTATACGACGAATTAACAATTCGACGGATAGACGTATACGACGAACTAACGCTCGGCGAATTGACGTATACGACGAATTGACGTATACGACGCAATGACTTTACGAGGAATTAGCGTACCTATACGACGAATTGACTTTACGACGTATTGACTTCACGACGAATTGACTCACGAAGAATTGACATAGAACCCTTCATAACAAACAGGCCAATGCCTTTGCCCCTGCCTGGCACTCCGGGAAGCATGGAGGTAAGTAACACCCATTTGGCTCACGTTCGCAAATTTGAATGTAACAACCGATATCGCAACGGAGAGTTTCTTTATCGGGTGTTACTTAACCTGGACAGATTTGCATTCACATAATGTTTAACAGTAATGCCTTTATTAGATACATAGTATAGATATAATATTATAAGTTTTTTATGTTTCAAACTCTCTGTATTTTATTAATTTGCTCATTAATTCTTGCTTATAGGCCCTACTTTTTGTATTTCCTTTTGGTATCATGTACACATGTAGGTACAAGTAAGAGAAAGAAGATTGAAAAAATTCAGTAAGATGTAATGGCTTTTCGAAAGTATCTGTTCCTTGTTGACCGGTATGAATGTCACGAAGCCTCACCGGAGAGATATTCTGAGTTCTAAATAATATTTTGTATCAAAACAGCAAAATGTAAAAATCTTCTTTCTTTCATCTTGAGCATTTCACTGTTAGTAATGTAAGGAGTAACATGTTCTCGTCTATTTATGTTCAATGTGTGGTTCAATATATACCTATCGTACACAATTGTTCTGAATCTTTTGTAGTCTATAACTACACACAATAGGAAATTGTTCAACAACAAAAAAATTACAGCTCAAAAACAAAATTCCGGTTTTTGAACCCACCCTATATATTATTAAATTTCTTCTTATTTCACACAAAAAAAAACAAATAAATTATTATTTCACACAAAAAAAAACAAATAAAAAAAGGTCATATACAGTGTGTTTACCTTCTTTTTCGATGTTCCACAACTATACAAATAGTGAAAAAGACGTTCTCCTAAATTAAAATTAGTGTCCGAGGTTTTTCGAGAAAGCTCTTTTCCTTTATTGTTTTTATCTGCTAAATCACGAAAGCACAGTATAATTTAGAATAATATAACAATATTAATTATATTTTGCACTTATACTCATGTTTTAAAATTTCAATGCCCTTAAATAATTATTTACAAGATGGTAATAGTAAATAGGCTTATCTAATACCAAGGGTAAGTAACACCTGATAAAGCGCACATCCATGCAACCACGGGTGTTACATTTAAAAAACCGACCCGTTGTCGAACGGATTGCCGAATGCTAAACAGGGTGTTACTTACCTCCTCACGTGTCACCATCAGGCCCTGGTACAACCAAGAAGCGGATGGGCCCAATATTCAAAATTCATACTAATTCGCCTAATCGCCTGTGCTTCTGCCTTCAATTGCCTCTAGTGTGATGCGTTATTCTCAAACTTTGATATTTAAAGCTTTGGGATGAAATGTATCTCACCACGTGCACGCTTTATAATGTTTCTGGAAAATATTGCTTACCAGGTGTCGTTTAACAATTGTTCTATTTCACACCTGCCTTAATGGCTTTTCCACGTTACATTAATCTTGAAATAGAATTAAATTCGTTGCTGATTGGCTTCAGTTTTCTCACATTCTTATGTGTTGCTGGAAAGGCTGCTCGGACAGAAAAGGCCTCAGTTTCCGTCCTCTAACTAACCCAAGAAGATCATTTCTATGGTTTTTTTTTATGCATATCCATTTTTGTTCTGACGCTGGGGTTAGATTTATTCACAAATTTCCACATTTATTTTGCTTTTGTCTGTATTTTGAGTAGTTATGGTATTATTATTTAGAAAGGAAGTGCTGCGGACACCAAAGCCGTGGCGCCATCTATTAGCAGTGAGTTATAGGAATGACATTTCTATCATTTTGACATTTAGTAAATAAAAAATTAAAAAGAAAACAATATCTTAAATTATAGTTGTGAAAGATTATATTGCACTTGCTTGAAGATATTGAAAATCAAATTTTTTTATCGATTGTTTCGCTTGCTTAACATTTTTTTATATCTATTCATCATCATCATAGGCGATTACTCGAGACCGAGTATGATTATCTTCTATTATATTCTTATTGTCGTCGATTGTGCGTTTTCTGATGGCTATATGAACCAATTCTAGAGCCGCGCACCATTCCACAGTCCCTGCACACCCAGTCTCTGGCAGCATTGTCTCTCCCTCTGTTCTCTCGCTCCTTCGTGCGGTCCCTCTTTTCGGTCTCGTGTCTGCGTCACTGTTCTTCAACAGTTTGTGGTTCGTCGTGGACTACTCGATGCCATTAGGGGCTATCATTTGCCTTCGTCTCCCAGTTGCTGGTATCAATGCAGCACTTTGCCATATTTTCCTTTAGAACATCTTTGTAGCGTTCTTGTTGTCCTCCTTGAATTCGTTATCCCTCTTTCAGTTGACTTTAGAGAATCTGTCGTGGATGAGGTGTTTCGGGCATGCGGACGAGGTGACCTGTCTAGCGAAGTTGGTGCTTAATGATGAGGGCTTCGATGCTAGTTTTTTTGGCCTCCTCTAAAATACTAATGTTCGTTCGTCGGTCTTGCTATTTAATCCGAAGGATTCTTCTTAAGCATCGCTGGTGGAATTTTTCTAGGTTTTTATGTGTCTTCTGTAGGTGGTCACGTCATGTTTCGCAGCCATATGTTATTTTTTGTAATTATTATTATTATTGTTAATATTATATTAGTTCTAGTTTTTTTTTTGATTGTAAGCTACCTCTTAAGTGTAGTCTGTATTGGTGTTTCTTATCTGGGCCTAGAATAAAGTTTTTTTTTTAACGTCTCTCGGGCTCTAGCAGCTGCCTCTCTTGTTGAGGCTAGCTGATGTAGCCTTTTATTCCTTATTTATGATAGAAATTTGGTCGATGTCGTGATTGTTGAAAACTCTCTCTAGAAGTCGCCCGAACGCCACGCTAGCCCACTTCAACCCATGTTGGATTCCGGCGTCAATGGTTGCATTCGCTGACTGATGGCTTCGAAGGTCTATTCTCACAAGTGTCTCTGACAGTTTCGAAACTGTCAGGAAGCATCGCCCATAGATGTTTTCAATGTCGTTGTTCCTAGATAAATCGGTAACTTAGCTGAGCGATTGTTGGGTTGCAAACTGTCAGAGACTCCGGAGAGAACAGTCCTCCAAGGTGTGGGTAGTGTTCTACGTTTTGCGAAGAATGGTCATTAATAGTTATATTTGGGGCTTGGGGAATAAAGGCCGTTTTACAGCTTGCAATTCTATCTGCAATGTGCAAGAAACTTGAACGAAGGCATGCGCAGAAGTGAGTCAGCTGATTGTTTCCTGCAAGATTCTTGAAACTTGAATGGCATTGCATGCAAATAATGCAATCGGTTTGATGCCATTTTTCTTGAAGGTTTTTGGCGCAAGCAAGGAAATTTTCAGCAATTTTGATGCTTAAAGTGGCTGCTATTGCTTTCTTCTTTTCATATCGACTTTTAATCACTTTTTTCATTTTTGGAGAATACAATCATCAACAACATAAAATTAAAAACAAAAAAGTATGGTTAAGGTTAGATAAGGAAACAAGTCAAATTGCAAGGTGCATGCAAAAAATTGCATTCAAGTTTTCTTGCAAGCTATAAAACGGCCTTAACATCCGGTGCGGGTTGGTGCAGAATTTGCGTCTTGTCAAGGTTGACCTCTAGGCCGATTCCCTTGTATGCCTGGTTGAACGAATTGATGATTGCCTGAAGATCTTCCTCTGTATTGGCCATCACGACGTTATTACCCGCATATTGAAGTTCAATTATCGATGTCGTCGATACTTTCGAAGGTCCCAGTAATCCATATTTTACAAGTTTATCAGATTTAGGTACAAATGATATGATTTGACTTAGCAGAGTCATTTTCTGGTATAACTTTTTATTTTATAGGTAAGCCAAAAGCTTGCCTGAACGGATTTTCTTCCATATTATCTCCCTGTGTTTATTTTTGTTTACCTGCAAACAATTTGTGACATCTATTAATGATATTAACTATTTGATTAATTCTAGAATAGGAATTATATCAGAATGCCAAAAGTTAAATTTATTTAGATTTCAATAAAGAGAATCCTATTTTAATCAAAATGTGGTTTATTTCGTTTCTCATTAAAATAGATACCTACTTAGGTACTCCAAATGTCCTGGATTTTAAATATTCGTCACAGTTAGTTTTACTGCGCCACTAATTTAAGAATATTTATTTAAATTGCTAAGACAAAATTTAAAAACAACTACCTACCTAACTATTAAAACTGTTTAAACTCTTTATTTTTGTTTTAGTGCCAAGACGAGTACTCAAAGACCAATATGAAGGGCCACTTGAAACTGATGAGTCAGATTACGATCCTAATGAAGGATATGAGGAATTCGATAATTACGATACTGTGAACGAACATATTCGAGAATCTGCAGCATCTCCGCCAGTTTCAAAGCTAGACAACGCCTCGAAAAATAATTTTACAAGAGATCCTGAAGACGTGCCTACTCCCAGAGATAATTCCTATGCTTTGGGATTTGGTGAGTAAATTCCATAAAGAGACATCCAGACACCTTATTAATTTGATTCATAAACTATGCCATTTTCTGTTCCTGCATGTGAAGCGTAAAAAGAATAAGTATAGTCACGCGCGAAACCAACAATATAATGAAAACATATTATTCCTAATAAATATTAAAACTTAATGGTGGGAGGTAGGTAGGTACCTAATGAAAATTAAATGTTCCTACACATGCATAGCGTACCTATGTTACAACGGAGATTTTACCATGATAACGAAACAAAACGAAACAATGTAGCCCTTAATGTCTTCTAAAAACATTACCTTTTTTAAAGGTTGACATTCCTGTGGCCATTAGCAGGATTAGATGTGTTACTGTATACAAGTGTCAATGTTTTATGATAGTCTAGTGAATAAATTGGGGGTGATTTATTTAGGATCTATTGTCGAAGATAAAACTTACCTAAATTGTAAGAAGCTGGAATAAGATTAAATCCTTTCGAGAATGACTGAAATATTAAGTAGTTGTAGAAAGATATAGGTGTGGCGTGGCGGCATGAATAAAAACAAAGTACCACTTTATGCTACAAGTTATTATTCTCTGTTTTTCATTTACTTCCATACTGAGAGTAAGCTTCATACCAAAGTAGCTTCTTCTAGTTTTCCGGAAGTTGCTAAACCACATAGCATTCCCGGAAATTCACTTTTTCAAGCACTGAATAATTTGATTTCTACAAAAATTATTTACTCTGACCTTAGCAAAGTTGCTATCACTTATGTACCTACTGTGCTATAGGAACATGGATAGGCTTGATTCATGTATAAAAATTGAAGACGGGTATCAAAGAGATTATTTTTTTCAGTTAATTTGATTTACATATAGGTGCATTTTGCCTTATCTATGTGATTTACTTCAAACAGAAGAAAAGTCGTAACTTTTTAATTCAATTTTAATAAGAATTTAAATAGTCTATCGATCAGCGAAGCTATACCGGAAAACTAGAAGTAATTTTCAATCGTCTCTCCCAATCACCCAAACTGTTAATTTCCTTGTGAAGCTTTTTAAAAAAGACTGTGTTTGGTTGCTTCTATTGTCTGTTGTCCCACACTCTCCTTTGCCTTTAAAATCAGGCACGTTTTGTTGTTAAAAATACGTGAATTCGCCGCATAGTTTCTAGCAGTCCATCACCATATTTTCAGGGATGCACTCACAGAAAAAAACCATGAGTGCCATACTTCCATATAATTTTTTTTAATTGGCATCAACCAATTCCAATACCTAATGGTTTAGTTCATAATAATTACTTGAAGTGATTGTTTGGAGCATGCCAATAGTCATAGTTCACACAGGTTCAAGTTTAATCCTTATTTTTTTTTCAGAATTTCATCCGCGGTATGTAATATACATTGGCATTGCGGTCATGACGATTATATTACTGCTTATATCAATATTAGTTGGGCGAGTGATGTTAAAGAAACGTAGAACGGAGAAAGAAGCCACATTTTATTCTACAAGTGTATCAGATCATACACTAGCCAATGGTTTCACAGATGATATTAGTGAGGTTTGTATAATTTGTGTTGTTTTCTGTTGTTTCTTATTTATCTTCAGATAAACTTGCCGTTAACTACCCACCCTTCTACAATTCTATTGGTCGGCGGATAACTGGCCGACCAATGAGATTACAGATTTCGTTTTTATCCGCTAGATTGTATACCTGATAGTTTATCAAAAGGTGAATGAACCGGCCCTTAATGAAATTACAATTTTTTTGTCGCTTTTATGAAACCTTCATACCCATGTATTTTTTTAAAGCATCCAGGATCGCTTTCCACAAGTACCTTGCTTTTTGTGTCGAAATTAAATATTGATTGCTTTACATTTAATTTACCCAATATAAGTTCATATACAGTGGGATATTTAAAACAAGCATCAATTTACAGCTTCCGATTATAAAAAAAAAATATCTAGATACTTCACTAGTCACACTTTGATTTCTAGATATTCCAATAATCTAATAACGAACCAAATTTAATTGAATAACCCTTATTGCAGATAATTATGCATGCAATAATTGCTGATAATTCGAGTTACATTGGTTACCCATTGTTAAATATGGGTCTCATTTTAAGGTCCTTATTTTCAATACGTAACTTCGTATTTCGCAAATTGACACCTAATCTATTTTATTTTTAACGGACCTGGTAGTTTTTTTTGCTTCTAGCTAAAGAGCAGACAGAAAAATTTACCGTTACCTACTTCTCCGATGAAATGAGAAATACAGATTTGCAGCAAGCGAATTAAGAATAAGTCGGCATAATACCGAAACCGTTGTCAATACACTGGAGTAAAAAGGAAACTCTATAAGGACCAAGAATACCGATACTGATATTGATATCGAGGAGGACATTACCAAAGAAAACAAGAAATTGAAAATGCTGCGTTAGCTGGCAAGATTGACAACGACCTGAATGGCAAGAAATTCCTTAACTTTGATGAAATTCGGAATGTCCAGATGAGAAATGCCTAGTATATCAGCCCTGTCCTTAGCGGACAGTACTCGGAATGATGGTCACTTATAGGAGCCAACAAGATATTGGATCGATTAAGAGATGTAGGTTCGTACAGGTCATGCCTTCTCTGTGCTTCCACGAAAAGATCCAGGACACGATCTCAACGAGAACTGAATCAGTACTTCTCTGGTTCTCACTGGGAGAGAATTGCGGTAGGACCTTTTCCTACAATATAGTCGGGAAATAAGTACCGCATGGTTGCTATGGACTATTTTCCAATCATCCATCAAGGACAATCGGCCAGCTGGTGCCGATAAGGAAAATGCAGCAATCAGACGAGAATTTATCAACAGCAACAGATTTGCTAAATCGAGCTAGAAATAAAAACCTTCCGAGAGGTTCATCATCTACATAGGAGCAATCCCGAATAAAGGAAACTCAGAACATCATTTTCTTACTCGAATAAAGGAATATTCACTAGAATCAGTTTAATTCCAGTACAACTGCAAAAAAGTGCTACCATTTTGCATTTGACATTCGGAAAATTAAGTAGAAAAACGCTGGCTGACGTTTCGGCACCAAATCTGACATTGTTGTCAAACTTCGTTGGCATTAGGAACCTGAATTCAGCGGAAGATATGATCATCCTACCTGCGGATAAGGGCAACGCAACTGTCCTGTTAAGAACTGAAGACTACAACCGGAAAACTCAGGAACTCCTTGATCCATCTACCTACCGAAAGCTAAAGAAGGATCCTACACAAGCCACACTCCGGAATACCAACAAACTGATTAGGTCATCTACCCTAACAGAAACGGTTGAGAAAGGCAGCATAAAAACAGAAGAAGTTCCACCACGACGCTACGGCCTACCCAAAATTCACAAACCGGAAGTCCCGCTAAGACCTATAGTGAGTGCACCTGGAGCACCCACGTACAACTTAGCAAAACATCTCGCATCGCTTCTTCAACCGCATGTAGGAAAAACTAGCTCAAGGACTCCATTCACTTTGTCCGGAAATTTAGGGATATTATTTTCCGGACATGTCTCACTGGTAGTTACTTCTTGTGGAACGGCGATTTCTACGAGCAAACGGACGGTGTAGCTATGGGAAGTCCGCTCAGCTCGGTCATAGCCAACTTCTTTATGGAGGAATTCGAGAGGAAAGCTATAGAATCTTTTGACCACAAACCAACAGTATGGCTTCGATACGTAGATGATACTTTTGTGGTTTGGAGTCATGGAGAAGAGAAGCTTAACCAGTTCCTAGGTCACCTGAACGAGCAACATCCTAGCATAGAATAGGGACCTTGCATGAAAAATTAAATTGATTATTGTTTATTGCAAACTGTAGGAAATCGATACGTATTTTTTTATTTTGTTCAAATATGATTATTCCGAAAGTAATACAAATATTAAGTTTTGTATATATAGATATATTAAGCATGTGTGACGTCATAGGATATGAAAAATAAGTACATTTCAAAGCGTTGTATCTCCGTCAATTTTTGACTAACATGAAAAAGAAAAAACACGTGTTGACTTATTTTTTATTGACTAACGAAATCAGCAATAAAAAAAATTCACCACAAAATGCATATCTACCTTTAATTTCTCGGGTGACAGACAGGATAGGGAAAGTCTTGAAGAAACACAACATAAAAACGATCTTCAAGCCCACAAGGAAAATACAGAAATCAATCAGATCAGCCAAAGATAAGAGGAACCCACTGTCAAGCGCTGGAGTCTATCGTATACCATGCACATGCGGTAAGGTATACATAGGAACGACAAACAGATCCAAGGATGAACGAGCACAAAAGAAACTGCAGACTAGGACAATCGGAAAAATCGGCAGTTGCGGAACATGCGCTTAGTAAAGGGAATCATGAAATACTCTTTGGTGAGGTCAAGTTTCTTGCACCGACTTCCGGATACCACAATGGTCTTGTACGTGAAGCTATAGATAGTAATAATAATTTTCTTACCATCAGTTTATCAAGTCCTCAAACTATATAGGGTGACTGGTAAGTAGACTTATTCCTTTGAGGAGGTAAAAGTAGAGCCTATTTGCTACCGATTGAACATCATTTACCTCTATACAATTCTCAACAGTTTTTGAGATATTTATTATTTTTTAATTTCCAAGAAATTCGCTTCTTTGTACGGTAGGTAAATATTCAAAATTAAGGAAAATAATAAAAGCAATTTTAAATGTCACTTTTCAAATTATAAGCTGACACACTAACACAATTATCAGCATTGGAAATTATTTAAACAATAATGTTAACTATTAAATTACTTCGGTTTAAACTTAACTTTGCTTGTCAAGTTACAAACTAATGGTCACTTTATGCCTAAAAATTTCGAAAATTTCATAGTACATCAAGCGTACAAATTATTAATAAAAGTTCTCGATATTATTGTCTTCAAAATAAGACACAATATTTCATACTTAATTAGTTTTTTGTTTTATTATTAAATAGATAAATAAGTTTTATTTG